GGGACTGGGACCTTCTACGTGCCAAGCAGAGGCTCTTCCACTGAGCCACGGCCCCTCTTGACAGCTCTCCAGGGTCTCAGGCGGAGGTCTCTCCCATCCCCTCCTGCCTGGCCCTTTTTAACTGGAGATGCCTCTGGGGATTGAACCTGGGACCTCCTGCATGCCAAGCGGAGGCTCTTCCACTGAGCCACGGCCCCTCTCTGCAGCTCTCCAGGGTCTCAGGCGGAGGTCTCTCCCATCCCCTCCTGCCTGGCCCTTTTTAACTGGAGATGCCTCTGGGGATTGAACCCGGGACCTTCTGCGTGCCAAGCAGATGTTCTGCCACTGAGCCACGGCCCCTCTTTATAGCTCTCCAGGGTCTCAGGCAGAGGTCTTTCCCATCACCTCCTGCCTGGTCCTTTTAAACTGGAGATGCCTCTGGGGATTGAACCTGGGACTTTCTGCATGCCAAGCAGGATGCTCTGCCACTGAGCCACGGCCCCTCTTTGCAGCTCTCCAGGGTCTCAGGCAGAGGTCTTCCCCATCACCTCCTGCCTGGTGTGGTCCTTTTAAGCTGGGGATTGAACCCGGGACTTTCTGCCTGCCAAGCAGGATGCTCTGCCACTGAGCCACGGCCCCTCTTTATAGCTCTCCAGGGTCTCAGGCAGAGGTCTTCCCCATCCCCTCCTGCCTGGTGTGGCCCTTTTAAGCTGGGGATTGAACCCGGGACTTTCTGCCTGCCAAGCAGGATGCTCTGCCACTGAGCCACGGCCCCTCTTTATAGCTCTCCAGGGTCTCAGGCAGAGGGCTTCCCCATCACCTCCTGCCTGGTCCTTTTTAACTGGAGGTGCTGCCGGGGACTGAACCTGCGACCTTCTGCATGCCAAGCAGAGGCTCTTCCACTGAGCCACAGCCCCTCTTTGCAGCTCTCCAGAGTCTCAGGTGGAGGTCTTTCCCATCACCTCCTGCCTGGTCCCTTTTAAACTGGAGATGCCGCCGCCGCCCTCCCCGCATTACTCCGCCTGGACTTTGCTCTGTTTCGTTCACATATTTATTCCCCAGCCTTCCTCCGCAGAGGCTGCAGCCCGCCTGGCCGGTGCGGAGAGGAGGGGGACCCGGGGCCCACTCTTTTTTTTGGGGGGGGCTAACTGACTGCCCCCCCCACACGCATAGCTAGTCACACGGGGGTGGTGGCGGCACTCTGCACATGCTCAGGGGCGCCCGGGCCGGGAGAACTCACTGCTCCTGGTCACCTCCATGCCCGCGGCTCGGGCTCCTCTCGCCGGCCTCTCTCCTCGGGCCGCCTCTCCCGCTTAGGCCCACGGAGGCACTTCCGGAAACAAACACCCCCCCTGCCTCCCCCGCGGCCCACGTGATAGGCGTCGCCGGGGTGATGACGACAACGAGGCTTCCCTCTCTCGGCCGCCGTCTCCCGCGTCGCGCGCTACTGAGCGTGCGCGGCTGACATCGCGCATGCGAGGTCGCCCAACCGAGCTCCTCTCGCCGTATCTCTTCTGCCCTCACTTGGGCGGGGCTGCCAAGCTGTCGGGAGCATAATACTCCCTCTCAGCAGTGGAGTCTTGTGAGCAAAAATTCTACTTTGTGAGCTACACTGGCATTAAAGTTGTGAGCGAGCCATTCGGCTGCTGCATAACTTAGTTTGCTCTGGAGTCATCCCTTCTTGAGCTGGGACAAAAATGTGTGAGCCGGAGGCTAAAAAACTGTGAGCTAGCTCTAACTCAGCTTAGAGGGAACACTTAGCTCCCTCTAAGCTGTGGAGTCTTGTGAGCAAAAATTCCACTTTGTGAGCTACACTGGCATGAAAGTTGAGAGCGAGCGATTGGGCTGCTGCCTGAATTAGTTTGCTCTCTGGAGCCACCTCCTTTCGGAGGCTAGAAAACTGTGAGCCGGCTCACACTAACTCAGCTTACAGGGACCCGGGGATGATTCCACGCGTGGGAAGGGCCTGTTGTGCCTGCGTGGATGCACGCCTGCGGCGGTCAGAATGAGCCGGCGAAGGGGAAAGGTGGAGGCAGTGAGGCTCGTGTCGATTGTGTGGCTTCCTCCAGTCCCAGGAGCCGGATTCAGCGTTGCCAACATTGGCTTGGGAAATTCCTGGAGATTTGGGTGGGGGCAGAACGTGGGGGAAGAGAGGGTTTTTGGAAGGGGTGGGACACAATCTCAGTGGTGTGCAATGGCATGTGGAGTCTACCCTGTGACACAGAAATGCAGATATAAAATATATGTTCTGCTATAAGTTTCTTGAGAGTCCCTCGGACTGCAAGGAGATCAAATCAGTCAGTCCTAAAAGAAATCAACCCTGACTGTTCCCTGGAAGGCCAGATCCTGAAGCTGAAGCTCAAATACTTTGGCCACCCAATGAGAAGGGAGCATTCCCTGGAGAAGAAGGCCCTGATGCTGGGAAAGACTGAAGGTCAAAGAAGAAGGGGACGGCAAAGGATGAGATGGTTAGACAGTGTCATCGATGCAACGAACATTAAATTGAGCCAACTCCAGAGGACGGAAGACAGGAGGGCCTGGCGTGATCTGGTCCATGGGGTCCGAAGAGTCGGACTCGACTGTGCGACTGAACAACAACAAATAAGTTTCTCTAATCAAAAGATTCTAGGTTACATATCAAAATCTGGATCTATTATGGTTAAACTTCTGAAGGCACAGTGACAGCTGTCGATAGGCATCAAGGAGAGCGTGTCAAGAATCCCATTCTTTCCCCCCTTGCCTCACGGCCTCAGTCTATTTTGAGGCTTAAAATGTGATGCAAAATTACCAAGTTCTTCCGTAAATCTTAAAAGGGACAAATACCCATCTACGATGTGCTTTTTAAGCGCCCTTGTTCAAAAGAAATTCTTCAGTCATTTTAAGATGCTGGTAATACCGCCCCCCCCCCCCCCTACACAACTTTCTTACATGACCACATGCGGTACACTTATAGACAGATGTACAATTGGAAAGTATGGTGCTGGAGAAGACTCTTGAGAGTCCCTTGGACTGCAAGAAGATCAAATCAGTCAATCCTAAAGGAAATCAACCCTGACTGTTCCCTGGAAGGCCAGATAATGAAAATGAAGCTCAAATACTTTGGCCACCAAATGCGAAGGGAGCCCTCACTGGAGAAGAAGACCCTGATGCTGGGAAAGATTGAAGGTCAAAGAAGACGGGGACGGCAAAGGATGAGATGGTTGGACAGTGTCATCGATGCAACGAACATGAAATTGAGCCAACTTCAGAAGACGGCGGAAGACCGGAAGGCCTGGCGGGATCTGGTCCATGGGGTCGCGAAGAGTCGGACTCGACTGTGCAACTGAACAACAACAACAATTGGAAAGGAAAATGCCTTTTCTGTCTATTTCGAGGCAAGGTCTACACACTAAGCATCGCACCGCCAGGCATAACACACTGCTGCAATAAAAAGCCGGCGATGCCGACTTGCAATCCTGTTTCCTCACCCAGGTGCTCTCCTGGACTGTCCGTCCCCCCTGCCGCCACACAGCCCCTGGCGAAAGACGCCCTCCTGTCCTGAGCACTTCCCTTGGGCATTTTCTGCAGAATGCTGGAGGGGTCTCGGCGGCCTCCCTGACCTCCCCGGCAGTCTGTTGTGCAAAGTGGGGCGCCGCTGCCGCCACCGAGAAATGCCTCGAAGTCTCTCTCTCGCTCTTTGAAGCCTGTCGGAGGGCAGTGCCCCAGGACGGGGGCAATGCTCCCTCTAAGCTGTGGAGCCTTGTGAGCAAACATTCTACTTTGCAAGCTGCTGGCATTAGAGTTGTGAGAGAGCGATTGGGCTGCTGCATCAATTAGTTTGCTCTTTAGCCCTCCTTCCTGAGCTGAGACAGAAACGCGTGAGCCAAAGGCTAAAAAAACTGTGAGCCGGCTCACACTCCCTCAGCTTAGAGGGAACACTGGACGGGGGTTAAAATGGTTTCCGGATATTGCCATTCCCATTCCATTAACAGAGTGAGGGTCCTCCTCTAGAGATGTGAAGGCCTGGAAAAATTCGGGGAGGGGGAAGGTTTTTTCCCCTGAAGCCTTTTTTGTTTTTTTCCGAAAAATTGGAAAAAGAAATTGATCATGGAACATTTTATTTTAACATGATGGATAAAATATTTTAAGACAAGGTGTTCAAATATTTTCCAAATAATTTCTAAAAAATATGTATGGTATCAGATTGATCTAATTTCTGTGCACTGAGGACAAGCAAGTCCTAGGTTACACACTGAACTCTCCAATGCAAGAACAAGATGCATTTCTCTCTTTAGGAGGTGCTATTGTCACAAGAAAAGAAAAACGTTTCAGTTTGGGTGGGTATTCTGTTTGTAATCATTGTTTGGGAACACTATATATTTAATATTTTAATATGCTAGTTGTGATAATTTCATCTGTTTGTAATCATTGTTTGGGAACACTATATATTTAATATTTTAATATGCTAGTTGTGATAATTTCATCTGTTTGTAATCATTGTTTGGGAACACTATATATTTAATATTTTAATATGCTAGTTGTGATAATTTCATCTGTTTGTAATCATTGTTTGGAAACACTATGGGGTATATTTAATATTTTTAATAGGCTAGTTGTGATAATTTCACGCCAAGTAAAAATGTCCATAGTCATAGTTTATGTCCCTCAAGTAACAGAATGACTTTCAATCTGGAAAGGAAAGAAGAAGTGCTAATGTGGCATTTTTTCCATTCTTCCGAAAATTTCCGTTTTCCCCCCAAGCTTCAAAATTTCCGGACATTCCCCCCGCACCCCCGGCTCTCCTGCAGGGCTGCAAGAACACGCTGCGAGGTCTGTCCGGTGCCAAGAGAGGGACACCCCCGGCCCCCCCGCTGGCTTCTTGGGGGTTGCAAGCAAGCAAGCGGGGGGGGGGACGCGGGACTCCGCCGGCGGATCCGGAGCGCGGCTCTTGCGCAAGCGGGGCAGAGGGGGCGGCAGGCAGGCAGAGGCGGGCAGGGGCGGCTCTCCCTCTCCTCCCCTCCTCTCCCCTCCCCTCCCCGCCCGGCTGGCTGTCTGGCGGTGAAGATGGCGGCCAGGGCAGCCTGGGTCTGCCGGGCTTGGCGGCTGCCCCTCCGCGCAGGTACCCGCCGCTGGCTCCCTTCCTCCCTTCCCCGGCCGGGCGGTAGCGGCTGGCAAGGTCGGGAGGGGGGTGCCCGCCGCCGGCCTCCCTCCCTCCCGTCCCGTCCCCTCCCTGTCCGTCCGTCCGTCCCGTCGGCGGGCGCGCAGTTGCAGGCGGGGCGCTGCTTTCTCTTGCAGGCTCCCCCCGGCGCGGGCCAGCGGCTGTCGGCGGGCTCTGGGGCGGGGCGGCGGCGGCCCCGAGGCGACCCTTCAGCAACGACAAGGTCCGGGTGGAGCTGGAGGAGAGCACCGGTGAGGGGCGGCCGGGCCGGGCTGCGGAGGAGGGGGGGGGGAGGCGTCTCTCTGCAGCGGGACCGCCTCGAGGCGACTCACAACAACTCAGGCGGTGGAGGGAGAGCCCGGCGGGCGGCCCTGTTGACCTGAAGTGCAAAGTCTGACTCCGCCGGCACTTTGAAAGACCCACGAAGTTCGATTCTGCGTATAAGCTTCCGTGTGCGTGCACACCTTTAAGACCCACAAAGTTTGATTCTGGGTATAAACTGTCGTGTGCATGCACTGCACACTTTTAAGATCCACAAAAGTTCCACAAAACTTGATTCTGGGTATAAACTTTCCTGTGCATGCACACTTTTAAGACCAACAAAGTTTGATTCTGAGTATAAACTTTCCTGTGCATGTATCCTTTTAAGACCCACAAAGTTTACTTCTGGGTATAAACTGTCGTGTGCATGCACACTTTTAAGATCCACAAAAGTTCCACAAAACTTGATTCTGGGTATAAACTTTCCTGTGCATGCACACTTTTAAGACCAACAAAGTTTGATTCTGGGTATAAGCTTTTATGTGTATGCATACCTTTAAGACCTACAAAGTTTAATTCTGGGTATAAACTTCCCTGTGCATGCACACTTTTAACAGCGTTCCATGCGCCTTGGTGTTTAGTCATACCGGCCACATGACCACGGAAACGTCTTTGGACAGTGCTGGCTCTTCGGCTTTGAAACGGAGATGAGCACAGCAACCCTAGAGTCATATTCGACTGGCTTTCGAGCAAGGGAACCTTTACCTTTACCTTACACTTTTAAGACCAACAAAGTTTGATTCTGGGTTTAAGCTTTTATGTGCATACATACCTTTAAGACCAACAGAGTTTAATTCTGGGTATAAGCTTTTGTGTGCATGCACACTTTTAAGACTAACAAAGTTTGATTCTGGGTATAAGCTTTCGTGTACATGTGCACCTTTAAGACCAACAAAGTTTGATTCTGGGTATAAGCTTTTGTGTGCGGGCACACTTCATCAAGCTTTATCTGAAGAAGTGTGCATGCGCACCAAAGCTTATGGGCTGAAAGGTGCCATTGGGCTCAAACTGAACCCATGACAGCAAAAGCAGCCCGTAAAAAGCCTGCCGCCCCATTGCCTTCATTGAAGGGCGTCGTATCTGCTGTAGGTGGCCTGTAAAGTGAAAAACAATAAAACCGGAACCCAACCTCAGTATTAAAACCAGCCTTGGGCCGCTCCAAAGGATACTCATCTCCCAAAGGCTGGAAGCAGACCGGAAAAAATCTCTGGCATGGAGAAATCTCTGGCGCGGCGCCGTTGCTGGCCTCTAGCCATCCACTGGGCTGCTCCAGGGGAGGTTTGCAGTCCCTGGTGCTTTGGGTGGTGGCTTTTAGCGCCCAGCGGAAAGAAGACCAATCAGCCTTCGGCCATTGCAGCACCAGGCCAGTGCCCTTTGGACCCCCCGGGGTGACAGGCAGTCTGGCTCAGTTTCCCTAGAATTGCTCAAGAAGGCGAAAACAGCCACGTTCCGTGGACCGGCTGTTCTGCCAAGGCCAACGTTTCGCCCTTGGGAGGAGGAATCCCTCCCCTTCCGCCTCACCTCTGTGTCCGAGGGGTGTGTTGGTAAACAAGCACGGCAAGCCACGGTCTGAAGCCCATATCTGTGCTCTGTGAAAGTGTCTAAAATAAGGATGTAAGAATCAGGGACGGAGACCCTGGAGAGCTGGAAAGATGGGCCGTGGCTCAGTGGAAGAGCCTCTGCTTGGCATGCGGAAGGTCCCAGATTCAATCCCCAGTGGCATCTCCAGTTAAAAAAGACCAGGCAGTAGGTGATGGGAAAGACCTCCACCTGAGACCCTGGAGAGCTGTCAAGAGGGGCTGTGGCTCAGTGGGAGAGTCTCTGCTTGGCATGCAGAAGGCCCCAGGTTCAATCCCCAGCAGCATCTCCAGTTAAAAGGGCCAGGTAGGAGGTGATGGGAAAGACCTCCACCTGAGACACTGGAGAGCTGTAAAGAGGGGCTGTGGCTGAGTGGAAGAGCCTCTGCTTGGCATGCAGGAGGTCCCAGGTTCAGTCCCCAGGGGCATCTCCAGTTAAAAAGGACCAGGGAGTGGGTGATGGGAAACACCTCCACCTGAGACCCCAGAGAGCCATTGCCTGTCTGAGCGGACCGAGTGTCTGATTCGGGATAAACCCGCTTTCTCTCTCTGTGTGTCTGTGTGCCCAGATGACCATCTTGAGTGTTCTTTTGCCGAAGCGAGTCTTGTCTCCTGAGTCTCTGCTGCTGACCTTCTGCCTTGCCTTGCTCAGGGGTGGCGGTGGTGAAGCTGAAGAGCCCTCCGGTGAACAGCCTGAGCCTGGAGCTGCTGACGGAGTTCTCGATAAGCCTGGAGAAGCTGGAGAACGACAAGGCCTGCCGGGGGGTCATCCTCACCTCGGTACGGGTTCGAGATAGGGCTCTTCCGGGCCCGCAGCGGCGGGTTGCCGACGGGGGTGACTCCTCCTCCGCTGCTGCTGGTGGTCTTTACTCTCTTCGTGAGAAGACTCTGGCGGCCTGCGTTGGGCTCTCTGTGCCGCTGGGGAGTGTAGTTCTTACACTGATGGGAAAGGAATAATTTCCCTCTTAAATGTGCCCAGAAGGCAAGGCAGATGGCGGACTTTGACTGAAGGACAAGCTTAGAATCCTCACACACACACACACACACACACATACACACACACACACACACGACAGGGTGATTTGGAGATATTTATTTAAGCAGTCAAGTCCCTGCTAACGTACAGTGACCTCCGTAGGGCTTTTAAGGCAAGAGACGTTCAGAAGGGGTCTGCCATCGCCTGCCTCTGCGTAGCAAACCCCAGACTTCCGTGTTGGCCTCCCAGCCGAGCCCTCACCAGGGCCGACCAAGGCTCCCTCTAAGCCGGGGAGTCCTGTGAGCAAAAATTCTACTCTGTGAGCCACTGGCATTCAAGTTGTGAGCAAGCGATTTGGCTACTGCATAGATTAGTTTGCTCTGGAGCCTGCCTTCCTGAGCTAAGACGGAAATGTGTGAGCCAGAGGCTAAAAAACTGTGAGCTAGCTCGCACTAACTCAGCTTAGAGGGAACACTGGTTGCAAGCAATGCCCCCTCTAAGCTGTGGAGTCCTGTGTGCAAAAATCCTACTTGGTGGGCGACTGGCGTTAAAGTTGTGAGCGAGCGATTTGGCTCTACTGCATAAACGAGTCTGCTCTGGAGCCCCATCCTTCCCGAGCTGAGACAAAAATGTGTGAGCCGGAGGCTAAAGAAACTCTGGCATCAGCTCACACTAACTCAGCTTAGAGGGAACACTGGGGCCGACCCTGCTTAGCCTCCCACATCTGACAAGATCAGGCCAGGCTAGGCCATCCAGGTGAGGGTAAAAGACATTCAGAGCTGGCTTGCCCTTGCCTGCCTCTGCGTAGCAACCCTGGGCTTCCTTGGTGGCTTCCCATCCAAGGTTCCCTCTAAGCTGTAGAGTCTTGTGAGCAAAATTTCTACTTTGTGAGCTGCTACTGGCATTAGAGTTGAGAGCAAGCGGTTTGACTATTGCATCGATTAGTTTGCTCTGGAGCCATCCTTCCTGAGCTAAGACAAAAATGCGTGAGCCAGAGGCTAAAAAACTGTGAGCTGGCTCACACTAACTCAGCTTAGAGGGAACACTGCTCCCATCCAAGTACGAACGGAGATCTGACAATATCAGGCAGCCTCGGCCATCCAAGTCAGGGGAAGCGGGCTGTGACTGGCTTCAAAATGACACAGGAGTCCTGTGGTGCCCGAGAGTGTAACAGAATTCATTCCAGTGCAGGGTTTCTGGAGACGGTGCTCACTTCTTTGGATTTGCACTGTGTTAAAGCTACAGAGAACAGAAAGGCCGCTGTGGGTGGGGCGGTGGTTTTTTTTTTTTTTTACAAAAGAGGCCAGTTAAAACAAGAACTGACTGCAAATGGGCGAGGACCACGCCCAACTGTTGACATGTAAACCACAACGGATTAATTTAAAACCTTGTCTGCGAAAGCGCAGGATGAAGCTGGAGAAGCCGATCCAATTAGAAAGTGCTACAGGGCTAATTGAAAGAATTAAAAGCTCACGGGTTGAGCCGCGCCAGGTATTAGCACCCAGGTGAGGGATAGTTCTCAGGCGGGTGGACGTGTCAGTCTGTAGTTCTAGCGCAGTGGTGGCAAACCTATGGCACGGGTGCCAGAGGTGGCACTCAGAGCCCTCTCTGTGGGCACGCATGCCATCGCCCCAGCCAGGCCCAGACCATCATTAAAGTGTCGAATTCTCTGCCAAAAAAATTTAAGTAAATGAAAGCATTTGGGATTGCTTTCCTCACTTTGTTTGGATCATCTTAAATTAATGTATGAGTTGTTTTTTCTAAAGTAAAACCTCAGTATTCAGGTTAAATTGCCGTGTTGGCACTTTGCAATAAATACGTGGGTTTGGGGTCGCAGTTTGGGCAATTGGTCTCTAAAAGGTTCCCCATCACTGGCTTAGAGGGAGCATTGCTGGCAACTGAAGGGGGAGGGAGAACCCGGGGAGGTGGTGAGCTCCCCCTCCCTGGCGGTCTTCAACGCAGCAGCGGGACAAACCCTGGTCAGGGATGCTCTAGGCTGATCCTGCACTGAGCAGGGGGTGGGACCAGATGGCCTGTCTGGCCCCTTCCAGCTCTATGGCATTTGGGATTGCTTTCCTCACTTTGTTTGGATCATCTTAAGTTAATGTATGAGTTGTTTTTTCTAAAGTAAAACCTCAGTCAGTATTCAGGTTAAATTGCCGTGTTGGCACTTTGCGATAAATAAGTGGGTCTTGGGTCGCAGTTTGGGCACTCGGTCTCTTAAAGGTTCGCCATCACTGTTCTAGCGCAACTTCTTATTCCAAAATTCTGGGCGGCTCAACAGGCAGATCTTGCTTCAAGGCTCAGGGTTAGGAGGAAGAAGAAGAAGAGTGGATTTATACCCCACCCTTCACTTGGAGTCTCAGAGCGGCTTACAAACTCCTTTCCCTTCTCCCCACAACAGACAGGCTCACTGTTGGGTTCTGTATTTTGCCTTGGTTTAAGGAAGTGTGCAACAAGGCTGCCTTTCCCCTCCTTAGAGGGGTGTCTGATCTGTGCGGGTGACGCACGGTTCTTTGGGGAGGGGGGGAAGGAATGCGGGCACATCTCGCCTTTGGTGTGGTGGTGAAGTGCGCGGACTCTAATCTGGGAGAACTGGGTTTGATTCCCCCACTCCTCCACTTGCACCTGCTGGATAACCTTGGGCAAGCCGTAGTTCTGATAAGAGCTGTCCTTGGACAAAAAGCCGTTTCTCTCAGAGCTCTCTCAGCCCCACCCACCTCACAGGGAGTCTGTTGTGGGGAGGGGGAGGGAAAGGAGATTGTAAGCCACTCTGAGACTCCTTTGGGTAGTGAAGGGCAGGATTTAAATCCAAACTCCTCCTCCTCTTCTTCCTCCAGGGTTTGGACTGAACAACCTGGTAGGGAGACAGCCTGAGATGCTTTCCTCTCCCTCTCTCCCCAGGCCGTCCCCAAAATCTTCTCGGCAGGGCTGGACATTATGGAGATGCACGGCAAAAGCAAGGAGCACTATGCCGAGTTCTGGAAGGCCGTGCAGGAGCTGTGGTTGAAGCTGTACGACTCCAGTCTGGTGACAGTGGCCGCCATCAATGCAAGTTTGATTTCTTTAACGTCCGACTCCCTTGGGATTTGCCCTTGGTTCTCTGGGCTGTCTGGGCCGGGAGGGCTCACGTCCTGATTCTGCTGAAATGCTAGAAAAGATAAGAGGATGCGGATGGGCCGGGGAAACCGGGGGTTGTATTTGCAGGGATGACCAAAACGGACCATTGAAATGGCAAAACTTGTGCATGGCGACGTCCGTTGCAAAGGGCATGAGGTGGGCGTTTCAGTGATTGGGTTTCCTTGCTTGAAACAAGGAGAGGCCGGTCCAGAAGGATTAGGCCATTTGTTTGCCATGAGGCCTTGAAAACGCAGCATCCAAACTAGCTGTTGTCATCTTATTTCTGAAGCGCTTCCTGTCCTTGATGCTGTCGGGCTGTAAGAAAGGCAGGGCCTGTTATCAGGTTCCCAGTCAAATCACTCTCCACACACACTTTGGCAGTGAAATGCTTCATCAGAGATGTGAGATGCTGTGGGTTCAAACTCTCGTTAGGACTGGTTTGCAAAGGCGGGGAAAACGCAACACGTAGATGAAACCCCAAAATCCCATTCACTCCCAGACGGATCTACCGTTGCCCTATCTGGCCTGGCCAGGCACCAAACTTCACCAAGGACATTCTCAGAAAGTTACCAAGCAATACTCCCTAATGCTCTACTCACACACACACACACACGCCCCCTTAGGAATGCAAATGGCAAGCGAGGGCAGGGATACAGTGCTAAGACAGATGCTAAGAATAAAGCCCAAAGGTAAAGGTTCCCTTGCTCGAAAGCCAGTCGAATCTCCGTTTCAAAGCCGAAGAGCCAGCGCTGTCTGAAGACGTTTCCGTGGTCATGTGGCCGGCATGACTAAACACCAAGGCGCACGGAACGCTGTGACCTTCCCACCGAAGTGGTACCTATTTATCTACTTGCAATTTCTTGCTTTCGAACTGCTAGGTTGGCAGGAGCTGGAACTAGAGATGGGAGCTCACTCCATCATGCGGCACCCTGGTCTCGAACTGCTGAACTACTGACCTTCCACAGCCTGCAGTTCAGCGTCTTAACCACTTGAGCCACCGCAGCTCCTAAAGCCCAAAAGAACACAGCAATACAGCTAGCCAATATGGAGGCCAGAGGTTGACGGGCTGTTCACGGCTCACAAAACTGATGTCACCTTGCATTTATTTATTTATTTAATGTTTTGATTTATAGCCCGCCCTCCCTGCAAGCGGACTCAGGGCGGCCCACAAATAGGGCACATGCCAATATATAAAACAGGTTAAAAACAACCTAAAAACAATCATTTACAATATTACGAGTGCTCTAGATGTTTTAATCAGTCTTCAATAAAAAGATGGCGCCTTGAAGATGGTACTCCCAGTTCAGCTGTGTCTGCTCCACGCAGCGCTGTCGTTCGCTCCGCGCAGGGCCAGTTGGTAATGATGGTAAAGGTAGTGATGGTAAAGGTGGTGGCGGCTCCTACTCGAAAGCCTGGCGGGAGAGCTCCGTCTTGCAGGCCCTGCGGAACTGCGCAAGGTCTCGCAGGGCCCGGATCTCCTCCAGGAGCTCATTCCACCAGGTAGGAGCCGCCACCAAAAAGGCCCTGGCCCTGGTAGCAGCCAGCCTGGCCTCCTTGGGGCCTGTGGTCACCAGAAGATGTTGCCTCCCCGACCACAGTGCCTGTTGGGGAAATGTTGCATGAACATTTGGCCCTTACAACCTCAGTGCAGCATGGACTCTGGCTCGTAGGACCTTGCGTTTAAGAGCAGACTTGCTTTGCATTTAAAGAACGACCTTAAGAATGCTTCTGTTATGAGAGCATTTGAAGCCAATTAATACAAATTAAAGAAAGGTGAACTTGGGCGGGGAGAGGACTTGAGAACTCGGGTTCTAGAGCTGCCAGAGTGTCGGGGGGGGGGATCCAGGGGTGCCGTTTGGGGCCCAACAGACCCTTTGTTCTCTGTTCCCTCCCTCTAGGGTTCCAGCCCCGCCGGCGGCTGCCTTCTAGCCCTCTCGTGCGACTATAGGATCATGGCCGAGAACCCCAAATACAGCATCGGTCTAAACGAGACGCAGCTGGGAATCGTCGCCCCGTTCTGGTGAGGGATGTGTGTGGGCGGCCGTGGATGAGCAGCCCAAAGGCCTTTTTGGTGCGGGCCCCGTGCAGACTGGCTGGCTAGCTCGAGCCGTGCCTTATGCCTGAACGCCTGTCCCTTATGGCCAGGTTCAAAGACGCGATGGTCAGCACCATCGGCCACCGGGCTGCGGAGCGCTCCCTGCAACTCGGGCTCCTCTATCCTGCGCCCGACGCCCTCGAGATCGGCCTCGTGGACAAGTTGGTGCCGGAAGAGGAGATGCAGAGCGTGGCGACCCAGGTGATGGCTCAGTGGCTGGCCGCTCCAGGTGAGGAAGCGAGAAGCCTCCCCCTCCCCGGCCCCCATAAGTGTCCCCAAGCCCCGAGAACGAGACTGCACCAGTGTTCCCTCTAAGCCGTGGAGTCGTGTGAGCAAGAATTCTACTCTGTGAGCTCCTGGCATTCAAGTGGTGAGCAAGCGATTTGGCCGCTGCATCAGTCAGTTTGCTCTGGAGCCATCCCTTCCTGAGCTAAGATAAAAATGTGTGAGCTGGAGGCTAAAAAACTGTCAGCTGGCTCACACTGACTCAGCTGAGAGGGAACACTGGACTGCACAGATAAAAATATGGGGGGGGGGGGATGCAGGGAAGGCTGGTCCCAGGCCAAACGGGCCATGGAGGAAGGCCTGGTTGGGGTGAGCCGAGTGAAAATCTACCCAGGGGGGGGGGGCACCAATGAAAGCTGCAAGGAAGGGCTCTGTCTTGGGAGTTCCACGGCAGTCCTAGAGTGTCTCTTCGGGGGGGGGGGGATGCCAAGGGAGCAGCAGGCCTTGCAGTGTCTTCTCCCTAAAGGCTGCCAGGGAGAGACGTTCGCTTCCCTCCCTTTTCTGTTCCCTACAACCCACCGGGGGTGGGGGTGGGGGGCTCTTCTCCTCCGGCTCCCCACAGGCACCCATAGCAGGTTCAGATGGGGAGCTAGTAGAACAGCAGTTGTAAGCAGTGGAGGGGGAGGGGGGGAAAGGGACAGAGAGAAGAAGAAGAAGAAGAGACTGGATTCATACCGTGACCTTCACTTGTCGTCTCAGAGCGGCTTTCAGTCTCCTTCCTTTCCCCTCCCCACAACAGACACCCTGTGGGGTAGGTGGGGCTGGGAGAGCTCTTTTGAGGACTGCTCCTGAGAGAACTTGTGACTGGCCCAAGGTCACCCAGCTGGCCTGCATATGGAAGAGTGGGGAGTCAGACCCGGTTCTCCCAGATCAGACTCTGCCGCTCTTAACCACTACACCAAACTGGGACAGAGGGCAAGGAATGGCGTCCGTTCCAGTCCAGTCAGCTTTAAATCACTGGAGCTGGGGCAGAGTAGACGTGGACTAGCGCCCCCTCGAGGAATGTAGAACCATAGAGCTGGAAGGGGCCAGACAGGCCATCTGGTCCCACCCCCTGCTCAGTGCAGGATCAGCCTAGAGCATCCCTGACCAGGGTTTGTCCCGCTGCTGCGTTGAAGACCGCCAGGGAGGGGGAGCTCACCACCTCCCCGGGTTCTCCCTCCCCCTTCAGTTGCCAGCAATGCTCCCTCTAAGCCAGTGATGGGGAACCTTTTAGAGACCAATTGCCCAAACTGCGACCCCAAACCCACGTATTTATTGCAAAGTGCCAACACGGCAATTTAACCTGAATACTGAGGTTTTACTTTAGAAAAAACAACTCATACATTAATTTAAGATGATCCAAACAAAGCAAGGTAAGCAATCCCAAATGCTTTCATTTACTTAAAATTTTTTGGCAGAGAATTCGACACTTTAATGACGGTCTGGGCCTGGCTGGGGCGATGGCACGCGTGCCCACAGAGAGGGCTCTGAGTGCCACCTCTGGCACCCGTGCCATAGGTTCGCCACCACTGCTCTAAGCTGTGGAGTCTTGTGAGCAAAAATTCTACTTTGTGAGCTACTGCTGGCATTCAAGTTGTGAGCGAGCGATTTGGCTCCTGCATCAATGAGTTTGCTCTGGAGCCCTCCTTCCTGAGCTGAGACAAAAATGTGTGAGCTGGAGGCTAAAAAACTGAGCTAGCCCACACTAACTCAGCTTAGAGGAACACTGGTTGCCAGCCAGGCGGCTACGGGATGGGTGAACGAGATGCGGGAGTTGTGGAGGGAGGATGGACCAGGATTGGGGGGGGGGAATCAGCCGCTCGATCCAACCGGCTTCCCCTCTCTCTGCCGCCTAGACCACGCCCGTCAGATCACCAAGTCGATGATGCGGAAGGCGGCGGTGGAGCACCTGCGGAAGCACCGGGACTCCGACATCCAGAACTTTGTCAGCTTCGTCTCCCGAGACTCCATCCAGAAGTCCCTGCAGATGTACGTCGAGATGCTCAAGCAGAAGAAGGCCTGAGCTGGTCCCGGAGCCGCCGGGCAGGCTGGCGAGGGATGGCTCCTGTGCGGCCGGCCCGGGAACCTCAGTGCCTCTCTCTGACCGGTGGTGCCTCTCGTGTGGACTTCGGCTCCCGGGGAAGAGGGGCAGGCGGGGCCTCTCTGTGCCAGTCGGGTGTTCTCTTCAGTGAGTTAGTTTAACAGAATGTGAACTGCCAATAAACATAACTGTTCAAACGGGGGACTCTCGTCTGCCTGTCAGGGGTTGCTCAGACACAGCCTCTCGGGCGGGGGTGGGAATCTGGGCCAGCTTCCACTGAGATTCCCCCACACACACACACACAATTGGCGTGTTGTGTGTCTGTTCCAAAGAGGGATGAACACATGGAGTTCACGGCCACAGGAAGTGGCGGCGGCTACAAACATGGGCAGCTTCAAGAGGGAATTGGATAAACATCTGGAGCAGAGGTCCATCAGTGGCTCTTCGCCAGAAGGTATAGATAGAAGGTATAGATACAGAAGGTATAGATAGATGCAACGAACATGAAGTTGAGCAAACCGGAAGGCCTGCCGTGATCTGGTCCATGGGGTCGCAAAGAGTCGGACTCGACTGTGCGACTGCACAACAACAATAGATAGGAGATCTCAGTCTGGGGCAAGTGATGCTCTGTATTCTTGGTGCTGGGGGGGGGCAAGAGTGGGAGGGCTTCTGGTGTCCTGGCCCCACTGCTGGACCTCCTGAGGACACCTGGTATTTTTGGCCACTTTGTGACACAGAGTGTTGGACTGGGTGGGCCATTGGCCTGATCCAACATTGGCTTCTCTTATGTTCTTATAGATAAGCATATGGAGCAGAGGTCCATTAGTGGCTGTTAGCCACAAGGTATAGATAAGAACCCTCAGTCTTGGGCAAGGGATGCTCTGTCTTCTTGGTGCTTGGGGGGGGGGCAACAGTGGGAGGGCTTTTAGTGCCCTGGCCCCACTGCTGGACCGCCTGATGGCACCTGGTATTTTTGGCCACTGTGTGACACGAAGAGTGTTGGACTGGATGGGCCACTGGCCTGATCCAACACTGGCTTCTCTCTTATGTTCTTCCCGCTCACTCCGCCTTTTCTGTTGCTGCTGGTACCCAGCTGACGGATAGGGTCCCTTGCATGTGCATTCATGCATGCAAAGGGCAGGTCTGAGCTGTTAATTTGTGGCAAACAGACCAGGAACCATCAAGAGAATCTCCCCCGTTAGTTGTGATTAGGTCACGATCGGATCTCCTCTGCTACCTGGGACACCCCTGTTCTAACTTGGAATAATCCAGTTTCTGCACTCAGAAGAATATCTGCTCTGCGGTCATTCTGTAAAGATATTTGCATACGTTTTATAAGCCAGTTTGGTGTCGTGGTTAAGAGTGTTGGACATTAATCTGGGGGAACCAGGTTTGATTCCCCACTCCTCCTCCAAATGCAGCTGCTGGTTGACCTTGGGCAAGCCATAGTTCTCTCAGAGCTGCTCTCAACAGAAGTTCTCAGTCAGAGCTCTCCCAGCCCCGCCTACCTCACAGGGTGTCTGTTGTGGGGAGGGGAAGGGAAGGGGATTTTAAGCTCCTCTGAGACTCCGAGTGAAGGGCAGAGGGTATAAATCCAATCTCCTCCTCCACCTCCTCCTTCCATGTGGTGGAGCATACATTTCTGGTCCCACTAGTGGACCTCCTGAGGGCCCCTGGTCTTTTTGGCCACTGCGTGACACAGAGTGTTGGACTGGATGGGCCATTGGCCTGATCCAACATTGGCTTCTCTTATGTTCTAAAGAGAACCAGTTTGGTGTTGTGGTTAAGAGAGGCAGACTCTAATCTGGGAGAACTGGGTTTGATTCCCCACTTCTCCACATGCAGCTGCTGGATGACCTTGGGCCAGTCGCAGTTCTCTCGAGAGCTCTCTCAGCCCCGCCTACCTCACAGGGTGTTGTCTGTTGTGGGGAGGGGAAGGGAAAGGAGTTTGTAAGCTGTCCTGAGACTCTAGGGCGGGGTATAAATCCAATCTCATCGTCGTCTTCTTCTAGCATCATTCAAGTGAATTCTTTTATTTTAATGTTCAAGAAATCTAAAAAACAAAATTGGGCCAGAGCAGTGTGATCAAAAAAGGGAAATTCAGTGGTGTTTGGACTGGTCCCCCCCCCCCAACCTTAGCAGGATAGTTGATCTCCCAGCACCCAGGATTCACCAAGTGGCCTTTCTCTGCCATACTCCGGTAGGAAATTGGGCTGGCAGGGGGCCCAGAGGGTGTTTATTCCTTCACACCCCACCTTTCGCAACAAGGGGCTAAAAGCAGGTTACGGTGCTCACCTCTCCTCCATTTTCTCGTCACAACAACCCTGTGGTGGAGCATGTGACTGGCCCAGGGTAACCCAGCAGGCTCCCTTGGCAGAGCGGGGATTCGAACTGGAGTCTTCCGGATCCTGTTCTGACATGCTAGCCCCAGTGTTCCCTCTAAAGGTGAGTTAGTGTGAGCTAGCTCACAGTTTTGTAGCCTCTGGCTCACACCTTTCTGTCTTAGCTCAGGAAGGAGGGCTCTAGAATAAATTAACTTAAGCCCTGGTCACACGGAGAATTTGCTGCATGAAAGGCACGAATGTCAGGCAGATTTTCGGGGCGCAATCACACCACAACATCTGGGAAGCGTAGCGCACCTGTGGCTAAAGATGCGGAGTGAAAAAGTACCTCAGAAAGTGCAGTAGTATCCAGAAAACGCGGGGCAGGGGTGGGCGTCTGATCGCGGGAGTGCTAGTATCCCGTGGCATCCGGCGCCTGTCCACATCCCATTGCTAACCGGATGTTTTTTGTAAGCACATGTGCACAAACACTGAACTGAAAGCAGTGCTGCTCTGCGGAACTGCGCATGCGCACAAACGTGAAACTTTATGCAACACGTGGTGCGCCTCCACACACTTCCGGGCAAGATTATCTCCAACAGGGATGCAATTTGCTTCCAAGTTTGGGGGGGAATTGTTAAAACTTATAGGGATTGAACGGGCCATGAGTAGCGCTTAAGTGAATCAAACTTTAGAGCAATATTTGCGTTGTTTCACCAATTACTGGCAGGATGATTGGGCAGAATGTCAGCTATGCTGCCATATGGTTTATGGGCCCGGGTTCGCTTTCATGACCTGTGTGCCAGTTGCTGCCGCATTCCTTTCTTTTCGCTTCTCCTCCTTGTTATCTCTGACCTTGTAGCCAGCCTGTGTATTGTCTTCCCATCAATTAACCGTGGGATTAGTTTCGTTTCCCAGCCTCGGCTCGGACTGCCGTGGTCCTCTTTCCCGCCCGCGGGAGTCAGGCCATAGGTGGTGGTGGGTGCTTTCGAATACCCTATGTCTCTCTCAGCTTTCTATGATGAAGGTATTCCTAACAGTGCCTGTGTCTGTGCTACCATGGTGCTAACAATAAAGTAAAACCTTCAAAGAAGCGTGTGCTCTGTTTGACTGTGGGTCCTGACATCGCGCCGCTTCTTTGCCACGCTGCAGCATCGCCGTGTGATCGCCAGCTAACAGCCGAAGCACGGAGACTCAGGGGACCGTGTGATCGGTCTACCCCGCTTTATTTTGCTCTGGGGCAAACAGCCGCGCCTCCCCCCCGCCATGCGTTATCTGGCCCGTGTGACCGGGGCCTTAGTGCGGTAGCCAAATCGCTCGCTCACAACTTCCAACACCAGTAGCTCACAAAATAGAATTTTTGCTCACGAGACTCGGCAGCTTAGAGGGAGCATTGGTTAGCCCACCACACCACGCAGATTCCCTCCAGAGCTTTCTGGAGCTGGTCTTGTTACTTGACCCAAAATTAGAGAGGGACGGAGATGGGGTTGGTCGTGGAAACTGTGTCGAAAGATGGTTCGGTTGAGGCCTCTGTCCTATTCTTCTCTTGGCCTTGAGAGACTGGGGTGGGGGAGATGATACTTGCGTGGGGTTTACACTCCGGCTGCTTACTCAGATTTGAAAGATGTGGCGGTACGAGAAGAGGAACCAGGCAGGAAGCGCTTATCAGAGCTGCCCTGGGATTCCTGGCCGGAGAGACATCTAATAAAGGACCAATATTAAAAACCTAGTTGAAGCTTATAATATACAAACATACATGTGTCCGTGTATTGGCCTTTCTGTTTAGGCCGCTTGAACTTTTTAATGAGGCTCTCCTTGGAGCCTTACATGTTCTTAACTGTCTTTCTAATAAATGCATGTATTTCTGTATATTATAAGTTTCAACCAGGTTTTTAATACTGGCCCTTTATCAGGCTTCTTTCTTACCCTCATGGCTCTTGATTCCAGTGTTTGGGTCAAGTTTGTCTTCCCCCCCCCCTGTGTCTTACTGGCCGGGAGGAGAGCCAGGAGGAACACCGGGTTTCCCCCTCTCTTAAGCACTCCCCCCGTATGTCTTTCCCGTCACCACTGAGACCGAGCGAAGTCGTTGCGGTTCTAAGATTTCAAACCGCTACCTTGAAGAAGAAGAGATTGGATCTATACCCCATGGCCCTTCACTACCCAAAGGAGTCTCAGAGCGGCTTACAAACTCCTTTCCCTTCCCCTCCCCACAACAGACAGACACCCTGGGAGGCAGGCGGGGCTGAGAGAGCTCTGACAGAAACGGCTCTTTTTCCAGAACAGCTCTGAGAGACCTACGGCTTGCCCAAGGTCATCCAGCAGGTGCGAGTGGAGGAGTGGGGGAATCAAACCTGGTTCTAAGATTTCAAACCGCTACCTTAAAGAAGAAGAGATTGGATTGATACCCCATGGCCCTTCACTACCCAAAGAAGTCTCAGAGCGGCTGACAAACTCCTTTCCCTTCTCCTCCCCACAACAGACAGACACCCTGGGAGGTAGGTGGGGCCGAGAGCTCTGACAGAAACTGCTCTTTTTCAAGAACAGCTCTGAGAGAACTACGGCTTGCCCAAGGTCATCCAGCAGGTGCGAGTGGAGGAGCGGGGGAATCAAACCCGGTTCTCCCAGATCAGAGTCCGCACACATAACTACTACACCAAACTGGCTCTCTACTGTGATGGGGTGGAATACCAAAGGGAAAAGAGGAGGGTAGAGGAGATATGGGGGGGGGGCTTTCAAGCGGGGGCAGAATCCTTCTCTCCTCTTTGATGGGGTGCCGAACTCAGACCAGCAGATTCAAGCTGTAAAGGATCAGGAGAAGCATTCTGGAATGGTAACAGTTTGCTGTGAACTCGGGAAGGTTTTTATTGGAAATGCAAAAGTTGAGTTACAGTTGGCTGAAGAACCTATAGTTAATGCATGCATGTAGAAGCCTGATCCTAGGCGTGCTTACTCAGAAGTAAGTCACGATGAGTTCAAGTTACAAGGGATGTTAAAGACCGAACTTCAACATGAATTCTGGTTAAAGCCGTGGAACCCAGAGCAGCTTGAAACCCCAGCAGGCGGAGAGTTTCAGTGAGGTAGCTTGAAAAACCGCGTCTGAGAGCTGACATAAGCCTACGAACGCTTGCTGCGGAGAGGTGGCGTGCTGCTTCTTCCTTGAGAAACTCGCCTGTCTTCCTGCGCTTTCGCAATCAACAAATACTTAAGAGAATTAAAAGCTCTCACTGGCCAACATCCAAACTTTCTTCACAGGTCGGTGCTGGCAGATGTCAATAGTGCCGCTTATTATCTTCTGTGAGAATGAAATATTCGCAAGATGAAAGACTGGGAAAGGAAAACGCCGTCCAAAGCCGTAAAATGAGCTGAGTATTGAAAGTCAACAAGCTTGTGAAATGACTTTTTAAAAATCTAGATACAGCCGGAGCTATTAATATTGAAAGGGAGGGGCTGTGGCTCAGTGGTAGAGCCTCTGCTTGGCATGCAGGAGGTCCCAGGTTCAATCCCCTGCGGCATCTCCAGTGAAAAAGGGACCAGGCAGGAGGTGATGGGGAAGACCTCCGCCTGAGACCCTGGAGAGCTGTCAAGAGGGGCTGTGGCTCAGTGGCAGAGCCTCTGCTTGGCATGCAGAAGGTCCCAGGTTCAATCCCCAGAGGCATCTCCAGTTAAAAAGGACCAGGCATGAGGTGATGTAAAAGACCTCCGTCTGAGACCCCAGAGAGCTGTCAAGAGGGGCTGTGGCTCAGTGGCAGAGCCTCTGCTTGGCATGCAGAAGGTCCCAGGTTCAATCCCCAGCATCTCCAGTTAAAAAGGACCAGGCAGGAGGTGATGGGAAAGACCTCTGCCTGGGACACTGGAGAGCTGCTGCCAGTCTAAGTAGACAATACTGACCTTGAGGGACCAAGGTTCTGATTCAGTAGAAGGCAGCTTCATGCGTTCAATATATAACTTCATTCTGTGCGATAAAATGGATTCCTGCTTTGAGAAATGCATGCTGTAAATTCGCTGCATTGTGGTGAGATTGGACTTCAGAGTTTGCTACTGGGGAGGAAAATGCCTGGCTGCCATCCTGCCCTGCGACATTTGGGCTCTTGGGTCTGCTTCTGGAGAGGTATACGTGACCCCAGCTGAAGACCTTCTTGGGAGGCTGGAAGACTGAGATGCAGCAGAGTGAAGAAATGGGCTGCGGTGGAGGCCCAGCGGCTGCGACCCTTTGGCCTCCCTCGACATGAGGTAGCAAGGACTGTCACTGAGAACCCAGCGTCACCTCCACGGGGAAATGATCACTGACTGCTAGAGCCTGCAAGGAATGACAAACAGGGAAAAAGCTGTGAGCCCTGCAGAGCAGCTTGTGAGATAAGGCCCTTCTGGTGAGAATTACACCTGCATTGTGGAGGGGCCTTGGCTCACTGGCAGAGCCTCTGCTTGGCACGCAGAAGGTCCCAGGTTCAGTCCCCAGCAGCATCTCCAGTTAAAAAGGATCAAGCAGGAGGTGATGGGAAAGACGACCGTGGACAGCTGTAAAGAAGGGCTCAGTGGCAGAGCCTCTGCTTGGCACGCAGAAGGTCCCAGGTTCAGTCCCCAGCAGCATCTCCAGTTAAAAAGGATCAAGCAGGAGGTGATGGGAAAGACGACCGTGGACAGCTGTAAAGAAGGGCTCAGTGGCAGAGCCTCTGCTTGGCACGCAGAAGGTCCCAGGTTCAGTCCCCAGCAGCATCTCCAGTTAAAAAGGATCAAGCAGGAGGTGATGGGAAAGACGACCGTGGACAGCTGTAAAGAAGGGCTCAGTGGCAGAGCCTCTGCTTGGCACGCAGAAGGTCCCAGGTTCAGTCCCCAGCAGCATCTCCAGTTAAAAAGGATCAAGCAGGAGGTGATGGGAAAGACGACCGTGGACAGCTGTAAAGAAGGGCTCAGTGGCAGAGCCTCTGCTTGGCACGCAGAAGGTCCCAGGTTCAGTCCCCAGCAGCATCTCCAGTTAAAAAGGATCAAGCAGGAGGTGATGGGAAAGACGACCGTGGACAGCTGTAAAGAAGGGCTCAGTGGCAGAGCCTCTGCTTGGCATTCAGAAGGTCCCAGGTTCAGTCCCCAGCGTCTCCAGTTAAAAAGGATCAGGCAGGAGGTGATGGGAAAGACCTCCGCCTGAGACCTTGGAGAGCCGCTCCCCATCTGAATAGGCAAGACCGATCTTGATAGATGTTGATGCAGCTTCTTGTGTTCATATGTGTTGTGATGCAGAAATCCGGAGCTACCAGAAGGGGATTTTAACAGCTTCCAGGGATGGTCATGGGGCGATGTGTCAGAGCGAGCAACTGGGAGACCATCTGTATGAAGCCTAGTGGCAGTCACCGAAGGCCCCGGGCTTTGCCCTGTGAACGTGCCCTCCTTGGTGGCAAAATGCCAAGGGGCGATAACAAATATAAGGGTTTTTTTTTGTTTGTATGGGAAGCGTAGAGGAGGAGGGATGCAGAAACCCTCAGTGCCCAACAAAGTTTTTAATTCAGGGTCTAAGCTTTCATATGCATGCACACTTCTTTGCATTAGAATTAAACTTTGTTGGTCTTAAAGATGCCGCTGGGCTCCAACTTTGTTTCAGACCAACACGATGACCCACCTGAATCTGCTTTGAAAAGAAGATCTATCCCTGGCCGGGGCCTTCACTCTTTGCGCTCCTCCGCCCTCCGTTTTCCAAAAGTCTCCTACTTGGCCCTTCCTCCCTTAACTGATTTTTAAAATTACTTTTAACTGATATTGAATTTGAAGCTGTATTGTTTTGTAAGCAACTTTGTACAGTCTGGAGAGGTGGCGTATAAATTCTAAAACCAACACAAGAGCCCTGCTGGATCATACTAAAGGCCCAGCTCTCTGTTTCCCACCGCAGGGCAGCCAGATGCCCTGGAAATGCCCACAGAAGCCAACACGGCCCCTCTTGTTGCCCTCCCGCATGCAACTGGCATTCAGAAGTACACTGCCTTTGAACATGGAGGTTCTATTTGGCCCATATGGCTAGTAGACACTGACAGACCAATTTGTCTAGTAGACATTCCACCAATTTGTCTAATGCCTCCTTGGAGCCATCTGAGTGACCAGCCGTCGCTGCGTCCCGAGTTCCAGGCACTGTTTTTCTGTGCCGTGCAGGAGTGTTTTCCTTTCGCCTAAATCGACTGCCTTCATCCCCTCTCTCGGGAGCTTTTGAATTCTAGGATATGCTTTAATTGCTCGAGCAACGATCAGGAAAGGTAAGGAACGGAAAACTGAAGGAGCCGCTTAAATCAGTGGGCCCCCTCGTGATTTAAACCCATCCCACAACCACCCCCGGAGGAGAGAGACTCGCCTCTTCCTGGCTCAGCTTGAGGGCAGTCTGGAAGTCATACACCTTGGCAGACTCGGGGTCGATCCACTTCCTCAGCCTTGAGCCGCTCACCACGATCCTGGAAGGTAAAGGGGCACAGGTGGAGCACTTCTTTCCAGGTGCGGACCCAGCAGCCAGTTCCCTCATTCAACCAGAACCATAGAGTGGGAAGGGACCTCCGGGGTCATCTAGTCCAACCCCCTGCACAAGGCAGGAAATTCACAAAAACCTCCCCCCCTACACACCCCCAGTGACCCCTGCTCCATGCCCAGAAGAGGGCAAAAGAAAACCTCCAGGATCCCCGGGCTGAACTGGCCTGGAGAAAAGTTGCTTCCTTACCCCAAAATGGTGATCCGCATTTCCCTGGGCGTGTAAGAAATGGCCACAAGAACTAAGCACTGAGGCAACCCTTCCTGCCCTCCCACTCACGATCGGCCTGAGTTCACAGAATCCGCACTGCTGTCAGATGGCCATCGAGCCTCTGTTGAAGAAACCTCCGAAGAAGGAGAGCCCACCACCCCCTCCCGAGAAACCGCTCTGACTGTCAGGAAGTTCTTCCTAATGTTTAGCCAAAAACTCTTCGGATTTCATTTCAACCCCTTGGTTCCGGCCTGACCTTCTGGGGCAACAGAAAACAACTCCGCCCCATCCTCTATAGGACAGCCCTTCAAGGATTTAGAAGATGGTTACCATATCACCTCTCAGTCGTCTCCTCTCCAGGCTAAACATCCCCAGCTCCTTCAACCTTTCCTCACAGGACTTGGGCTCCAGACCCCTCACCATCTTTGTTGCCCTCCTCTGGACACTGCCACCATAGGTTAGAGATGTCAGCGAAGAGCCAGTGGCAGAGACACACCGGTGAACCTCCCGGAGAGGCTCACAGGGCTTGTTGTGGCCCTCAGTCTATCTGCTGCGGAGGTGAGGAGGCTGAACCCCAGAACTGTGTCACTCATTGGACCTTGAATGTTAGGATCAGGGGTCATTTCCTGCAGGAGCACACAGGAGCGGAGCTCCGGCAGTAAAGAGCCCAGGGGGCGGGAACATGCAACAAGCCCCACCCCCTGCTCCCAGCAGCCCTCAGTCAGAGCAAGAAGCAGCCAGGTAAGTTGCAGAGCCCCCCCCTCGCCCCCCCAGTCCAAAATAGTTCAGTGGCACCTTTAAGACCAAGTTTTATTCAGGTACAAGCTCTCCCTCCTCTGCGAGGACAGATCTGCGTGTCCCCCCCCCGCCCAATAGCTAGCAATCCAAAACAGTCCAGTGGAGCCTGAGCGGTGGGTGTTGCCTTCTGACACACTTCCGGTGATGTCAGGGGGTGTGGCATATGCAAACGAGGTATGCTAATGAGCTCCTGCACCTCTTTTTCTACAAAATGACCCCTGGTCAGGATGGGTACCTTTCACCTGTTATTAGGGTTGACAACTCCAGGTTTGGAAATTCCTGGATATTTGGGGGGAAAGTGTGGGGACGGTGAGGGGCTTCAGCGGGGTATAATGCCCTGGAGCCCACCCTCCAAAGAAGCCATTTTCTCCAGGGGAGCTGATCTCTGTTGTCTGGAGACCAATTATAATCCTGGAAGGTCTCCAGCCACCACCTGGAGGGTGGCTACCCTACCTGTCATAGGCACAGTCCGACTGGCCCACGGTGGTGTCTGTGGAGTCCGAGATGAGCCACTTGAAGACCTCGCTGGTGCGCAGGCGGATGGAGGCCCAGTCCTTCTTCGCCACGTAACTGCAGTCGGCGTTGAAGTCTCCGAGAAACATCATGTTCTGCCAAGGGAAGGGGGCAGCCAGGGGGAGGGGGCGTCACGAGGAGAAGCCCTGCTGGGGGACCCGTCTAGGCCGGGGCTGGGTTCCCTGGGCCAGAGAGTTTGCTTAACTCGGATTGGTTTCCCTTTAATCCCACTTCTAGTCAAGGATTTACGGAAGGAGGGGCTGTGGCTCAGTGGAAGTGCCTCTGCTTGGCACGCAGGAGGTCCCAGGTTCAATCCCCGGCAGCATCCCCAGTTAAAAAGGACCAGGCAGGAGGGGATGGGAAAGACCTCCGCCTGAGACCCTGGAGAGCTGTCCAGACGGACTGTGAGTCAATGGCAGAGCCTCCGCTTGCAATGTAGAAGGTCCCAGGTTCAATTCCCAGCATCTCCAGTTAGATAGTACCAGGCAGGAGTTGATGGGAAAGACCTCCGCCTGAGACCCTGGAGAGCTGTCCAGACGGACTGTGAGTCAATGGCAGAGCCTCCGCTTGCAATGTAGAAGGTCCCAGGTTCAATTCCCAGCATCTCCAGTTAGATAGTACCAGGCAGGAGTTGATGGGAAAGACCTCCGCCTGAGACCCTGGAGAGCTGTCCAGACGGACTGTGAGTCAATGGCAGAGCCTCCGCTTGCAATGTAGAAGGTCCCAGGTTCAATTCCCAGCATCTCCAGTTAGATAGTACCAGGCAGGAGTTGATGGGAAAGACCTCCGCCTGAGACCCTGGAGAGCTGTCAGGAGGGGCCGTGGCTCAGTGGCAGAGCCTCTGCTGGGCATGCAGAAGGTCCCAGGTTCAATCCCCAGCAACATCTCCAGTTAAAAGGACCAGTTGATGTGAATGACCTGCCTGAGACCCTGTGGAGCCACTGCCAGTCTGAGTAGACAAGACTGGAAGGGAAGAACCGATGGTCTCATTCAGTCTCATTCAGTCTCAGGAAGCTTCCCGTGTGTTCAAGGTGAGGGCGTCTTCCCCCCCCCCCCAAGGCCTGCCTGCCAGGTTAACCAGGAACTCTCACTGAAGAGTCTCTGCTGTCACCACTAGAGAGCGATCTGTGAATGAGGCAGGGCTGGGGGCGACCGGGGGGGGGGCTGCTTCTCCATCCTCCCCCTGCTTCTCCATCCTCCCCCCCTCCTTAGCCTGGCCACTTACATCCGTCCCCCACTTGTCAATGACCTTCAGGTAAACGTCGTAGAGGGCGTCTATTTCGGCCACGGCCTCACTCGGAGGCGTGTGAAGCGGCACCAGGATCAGCGGGTCTCCCTCTGTGAGACAGAACCAGAGTTGGCAGACGGCACCCTCGCGTTCCCCGTGCCCCAGAAGGCATGCAGGGGCAGGGGCACCCACCCCAGGCCCTCCGGACTCCCCGCCTGCCCTCCTGCCACGTTTTGCCCTCCTGTGCCTTCCCCCGGCCACTGAGGCCGAGTCCTGGCACTTCACGGAGGAGCAGGAAGGAAGGAAGGAAGGAAGGAAGGAAGGAAGGAAGGAAGGAAGGAAGGAAGGAAGGAAGGAAGGAAGGAAGGAAGGGGGTCCCTGCCCCTTGGCTCACTTGAGCCGGGAACGGAGAACTTCACGATGAAGGGGGCTCTGCTGAAGGCGTCGTTGTGGTTGGGGTACTGGTACTGGGCCTCGGGAGAGACGCTCTCTGTCCTGGAGAGAAAGCAGAGGAACAGAAGGCACGGCCATGTTAGAGCTGGACCAAAAGAGTGGCTCCCCGACATTGGGAAAAGGTTGTGGCATCTGTCTGGCGTATGGGACTCCCACTGTGGAACTGCTGTTGTAGGGAAGCAGAAGCATCGGGCTGGGAGGGGGGCGGTCAAGGGCTTGGGCTCTCTGAGCAAGGGGTGTCCCTTGCCTCCGCAGCTGGTGCCCCTGCTGGCTGGTGCCAGGGGGAAGAGGTGCCGGGCGACGAAGGGATGCCAATCACCTCCTGTGTCGCTGAGATCTGCCTGCCAGCTGAATCCCCCCTGGGTTGCTGCCTGGGGGTGGCTGGGTCCAAGAACTGACCCTGCTCCCATCCAGGGGGACCCCTACAGCTCAAGCTAATTGTCTCATATGAAGCTGCCTCATACCGAATCAGACCGTCAAGGTTGGTCTCATCGACTCAGGCTCGTAGGAGCTCTCCAGGGTCTCAGGCAGGTCATTCACATCACCTGGTCCTTTGAACTGGAGATGCTGCTGGGGACTGAACCTGGGACCTTCTGCCTGCCAAGCAGAGGCTGTTCCACTGAGCCACAGCCTCTCTTGACAGCTCTCCAGGGTCTCAGGTGTAGAGGTCCTTCCCATCACCTCCCGCCTGGTCCTTTTTAACTGGAGATGCCGGGGACTGAACCTGGGACCTTCTGCCTGCCAAGCAGAGGCTGTTCCACTGAGCCACGGCCCCTCTTGACAGCTCTCCAGGGTCTCAGGCAGAGGTCTTTCCCATCACCTCCTGCCTGGTCCTTTTTAACTGGAGATGCTGCCAGGGACTGAATCTGGGACCTTCTGCATGCCAAGCGGAGGCTCTGCCACTGAGCCACGGCCCCTCTCTTTCCCATCACCTCCTTCCTTGTCCTTTTTAACTGAAGATGCCGGTAACTGAACCCGGGACCTTCTCTCCCACTGAAGATGCCGGTAACTGAACCTGGGACCTTCTGCATGCCGAGCAAAGGCTCTGCCACTGAGCCACAGCCCCTCTTGCCAGCTCTCCAGGGTCTCAGGTGTAGAGGTCTTTCCCATCCCCTCCTGCCTGGTCTTTTTCAAGGGAGCGGCTGAGGACTGATCCTGGGACCTTCTGGGTGCCAAGCAGAGGCTCTGGCACTGACCCACCCTCCCCCCACTTTGCAGTATTTACAATCACTGCCTTTTGCTGTTATTGGTGGGAGTGTAGAGTACCCTGAACCAAGCTGAGTTACTTGGGGGAAGAATGGTTTAAGTGCTTTGCCCCAGCGAAATAAATTTACTCTCGAGTAAGTGGCCGCAGGGGTCCAGCCAAAGTTGATTCCGTACCTGTAGATGAAGAGGTACATCTCCTTGTATTTCTCCCGACCCAGCGGCTCACTGATAATGTAGTCATAGGAGTTCTTGGAGGCCCTGCATGGCGAGAGGGAGAACGTGGGCAGGGGGCAGCGCCAGTGCTGGCGGGGCGCAACTCCCTTCCCTGGCACAACAGACCAGCTCACCTCCCACAGCTGCTGAGCTATGGGCCAATCTCCTTCCCATGGGCCAACCACCCTTCCAACGCAAGTCAGGCCTGACCAGGTGCCTTCTTGCCACGAGGTCGGCATATTTGCCCAGGGAAGCACGCCGTGCCCTGCCTGGAGATAGGAGCTGCCACGGAGAGGGGCCGAGAGAGAGAAGCCCCACTGGCCAAATATCCTCTCAGACCCAAAGGACCCCCCGTTTGCCCTCAACTGTCTCTTTCTTCTTCAGGAGCCACATGGGTTTTCTTTCCCCGCTGTTCTACTCGGTTTCAGAAGTTCTCCTCCTCGTTAAGGAAGAATTTCCTAATAGTTAACCAAAGAGGAAGCTCTAACCATTTGCCGGCTCAGAGCCAAGGGCTGCTTCCTCTCCTAAGAGCCTTTCTGGGCTCTGTTCTCCTCGGTTCGGAGGCAACCGCGCAATCTGCATCCAAGCCGAGGGGTGTGGGCCTACTCCGGAGGGAGCTGTTTGGGGCTCAAGCCAAGACCCCCCCCCCCCGGTTCGCAGAAATCCCAAGGAAACAATATGGAGGGTCCAGGTTTGCATACAAGGAGATTTGAATAAGCAATGATCCGGCTTACAGAAATAGCCGACTGAGCTTCCATGCGCTGGGTTTCAAAGGCACACGCGCCCAGCAGAACTTAGCCAGACCTCGAGATGAAATGTGTAGCTAAAACTAAGAAGAGAAGTGATTGGATTTATACCCCACCCTTCACTCGGAGTCTCAGAGCGGCTTACAAACTCCTTTCCGTCCCCCTCCCCGCAACAGACACCCTGGGAGGTCGGTGGGGCTGAGAGAGCTCTGACAGAAACTCCTCTTTTTCAAGGACAGCTCTGAGAGAACTATGGCTTGCCCAAGGTCATCCAGCCAGGTGCAAGTGGAGGAGTGGGGAATCAAACCCGGTTCTCACAGATTAGAGTCCGCACACTTAACCACGACACCACACTTGTACCCTCATTGCGGGCTCTGAATAATCAAGGTACCCCAAATAGTAGGATGAGCCTGGTGTCTAGTGGGGAGAGGAAACAACCCAGGCTTCCTGGCTAAGAGCCGCTAACAAGCACCAGAGAGAGGAATGTTCTTTTGGGAGCGACCTGCTGGCCGCCTCCTCACAGAACCCAAGCACCAGCCTGTAACAAAGATGGAGTTACTGAGGCCATACAGGAGCTTGAAAGGGACAACGGAACTCGCAATTTGGGATTTCATTTTAGTGGGGCGGGCAGGCCAGATGGCCAGGGAGGATGCTTGGATGAAGAAAGGGTGGAAGTACTCAGTAAGTAAAGGTAAAGGTTTCAACTGCTTGAAAGCCAGTCGAATCCGACTCTAGGGGGCGGTGCTCATCTCCGTTTCCAAGCCGAAGAGCCAGCGCTGTCCAAAGACGTTTCCGTGGTCATGACTGAACACCGAGGTGCACAGAACACTGTTCCCTTCCCACCAAAACGGTATCTATTTATGTACTTACAATGTCTTGCTTTCGAACTGCTAGGCTGGCAGGAGCTGGGGCCAGAGACGGGAGCTCACTCCGTCATGCGGCATTCGGGTCTCGAACTGCCAAGCTACAGACCTTCCGGTCTGCAGCTCAGCGTTTTAACCTCTGAGCCACCATGGCCCCTAAGGTTCTCAGTAAAAAGGTAAAAGTAAAGGTTCCCTTGCTCGAAAGCCAGTCGAATCCGACTCTAGGGTTGCGGTGCTCATCTCCGTTTCAAAGAGCCAGCGCTGTCTGAAGACATTTTCGTTGTCATGTGGCTGGCATGACTAAACACCAAGGTGCACGGAACGCTGTGACCTTCCCACCAAAGTGGTACCTATTGATCTACTTGCAATTTCTTGCTTTCAAACTGCTAGGTTGGCAAGAGCTGGAACTAGAGATGGGAGCTCACTCCATCATGCGGCACCCGGGTCTCGAACTGCTGAACTACTGACCTTCCACAGCCTGCAGTTCAGCGTCTTAAGCACTTGAGCCATCGCAGCTCCTCAAGGTTCTCAGTACTACCACCCAAAATGGAGTGAGAGAAGAAAGGCACACGCATTGCCAGTGGTGAATGGAACAGTATGCAGTCTCTTGACCGAAGATCATGTACACACAGTAGAAAAGGCTGAACATCACATGCACAAGCAACTCTGGCTAATGGACTCATTCTGATTCTTCCTCAGATTTCTGTGAAGAGCTTCACTGTGAGCGAAGAGGTGCTACCGGTGACAACGGAGTCCCTATTCAAGTCCACAAGCGGATGAGTGCCCAACAGAGGGATTTGGGTCCCATCAGAAAATCACAAAGGCTTAATCTGAATCTTTGTGAAGGCCGGCCTCTGCAAACCTCTCTGACGCCACTACCAGGAGCAGAAATGTTGTTCATTCTTGGCAATGTGGACGTACGGAACTGCCGTCAAGTCTCGACTGACCTACAGCAACCCCAGCGAGGGGCTTTCCAGGCAAGTGGGAAGCAGAGGTGGTTGGCCCTGGCCTTCCTCTGCAGAGCCTGCCTTGGTGGCCCCCCATCCAAAAGCACTGGCCCTGCTTAACTTCCAAGATCTGATAAGATCGGGCTACACCATGCCCCCCCTCCCCTCCATTATACACTTGTGCATTTTCTCTCCGTCCTTTTCTGGGGGCTGTACAAGTTCGCATATTTGGCTGGAACAGACTGTGTGTGGTGCAGACTCCAGGCTTAAGCAAGACGCAGGTGGGAGAAGGGCCTCGTGCTGCACTTCTGCCTGCCCCTCCCGCAATTTCACTTGGTGTACCGGTTGAGCTTTTGCCTGCCTGTCCCACAGTAAGAACGTAAGAGAAGCCAGTGTTGGATCAGGCCAATGCCCCATCCAGTCCAGCACTCTGGGTCACATAGTGGCCAGAAATACCAGGTGCCCTCAGGAGGTCCACCAGTGGGGCCAGAACTCCAGAAGCCCTCGTATTAACCCTAACACCAAGCCCCAGAAAGACAGAGCATCACTTGCCCCAGGCATAAGAAGATAAGAGAAGCCATGTTGGATCAGGCCAGTGGCCCCTCCAGTCCCACACTCTGTGTCACACAGTGGCCAAAAATACCAGGGGTCATCAGGAGGTCCAGCAGTGGGGCCAGGACACTAGAAGCCCTCCCACTGTTGCCCCCCCTCCCACAAGCCCCAAGAAGACAGAGCATTACTACCCCAGGCATAAGAGCATAAGAGAAGCCATGTTGGATCAGGCCAGTGGCCCCTCCAGTCCAGCACTCTGTGTCACACAGTGGCCAAAACCCCAGGGGCCACCAGGAGGTCCACCGGTAGCAGGGCCAGAACTCCAGAAGCCCTCCCACTGTGGCCCCCCAAGCACCAAGAAGACAGAGCATCACTTGCCCCAGGCATAAGAAGATAAGAGAAGCCAATGCTGGATCAGGCCAATGGCCCATCCAGTCCAACACTCTGGGTCACACAGTGGCCAAAAATACCAGGGGCCCTCAGGAGGTCCAGCAGTGGGGCCAGGACACTAAAGCCCTCCCACTGTTGCCCTCCCCCCAAGCACCAAGAATACAGAGCATCCCTGCCCCAGACAGAGTGTTCCCTCTATCCCTTGTGGCGAAGAGCCACTGGTGGACCTCTGCTCCAGATGCTTATCCAATCCCCTCTTGAACCTGTCTATGCTTGTAGCCGCCACCACTTCCTGCAGCAGTGAATTCCATGTGTTCTTTGCTCGTTGGCTGAAGAAGTACTTCTTTTTACCTGTTCTAATCTCACTTGGTGTACCTGTTGAGTTTCTGCCTGTTCCTTCTGCAGTTTTCCACGGTACACCAGTTGAACTTCTGCCCACCCCTCCCTCAGGGTCCTTTGGCGCACCTGTTGGGCTTCTGCCCGCCCCTCCCAACATGTCCTTTGGCGCACCTGTTGAGCTGCTCCATCAAGGTAGTGACAGCGCTGAGATCCGAGTCGCGCACCTCTTGCACCAGGGCGATGTCGTAGCGGGAGAGGATCTGGAATGAGCAAACGTCCTGTTCAGGGACTAGCACTGGATTAGTGTGCAGGGGTGTGTGTGTGTTTGTGTGCTATTTTTTATGCGTGTTTTAGTATCTCCCCTCCTTCCCTCCAGGGAGCCCACGGCAGCCAGCACATTTCTCTCCTCCTCCGTGTTGTCCTGACAACACCCCTGTGAGGTAGGTGAGGCTGAGAGGGAACTGCTGGCCCCAGGTTGCCCAGTGACGTGGGGATTCGAATCTGGGTCTCCGTCGTCCTAACCGACCCTTTAAGCACTAATGCTGTTTCACCCTGGCCACCGCAGTGTCTTCTGTCTGCCTCACCATTTCCAGGATGGGAGTGTGACCTACAGTTACCAACCTCCAGATGGGGCCAGAATATCTCCCTGAATTACAGATGACCCCCAGACTATAGAGGTCAGTTCCCCTGGGGGAAATGGATGCACTGGAGGGTGGACTCTGTGGTGCGTTGTATTTTGCTGAGGTCCATCCCCTCCCCAAAACCCACCCTCTCCAGGTTTGTCTCCCAAATCTCCAGGAAGTTGGCAACCCTATTTATTTATTTATTTATTGAATTGGATTTGCCAGGCCGCCCTTCCCTGCAAGCAGGGCTCAGGGCGGCTCACAACAGAGTAAAATACAATAAGCAGGGGTCATTTCCTGCAGGAGCGCACAGGAGCGGAGCTCCGGCAGTAAAGAGCCCAGGGGGCGGGCACATGCAACAAGCCCCACCCCCTGCTCCCAGCAGCCCTCAGTCAGAGCAAGAAGCAGCCAGGTATGTTGCACAGCCCCCTCCCATAGATAGCAATCCAAAACGGATAGATAGCAATCCAAAACAATCTCCCTCCTCTGCCAGGGCAGAGCTGCACGTACCGTCCCCCCAATGGCTAGCCAACCAAAACAGTCCAGTGGAGCCTGAGCGGTGGGTGTTGCCTCCTGACACACTTCCGGTGATGTCAGGGGGCGTGGCATATGCAAATAAGTTATGCTAATGAGTTCTGCTAATGAGCTCCTGCGCCTCTTTTTCTACGAAATGACCCCTGACAATAAGTGATTTGAATTAAAACCAACACTGAAATTACGTAAAAGCAATCAATAAATAAGACAATGGTGGAAAGAGGTGTCAGCTGGATTCTCCCTTCTGGCCTGTAGACTGAGGCCCCCTGGAGAGGTGCCGGATGCCTTTCCCACCCTCTTCGGGGGG